GCCCCCCCAAGCCATGCACAGCCAAGGGACAAGGGCTTCAGGGCAGCCAGGGCTGGTTCGTCCCTTGCAGGAGGGCTCCGTCCCTTCCCCAGGTGCTATCTCCCACGGTACAAAGCCCCGCAATAAGGCAGCGGGGTGAGACAATGAGGGCCCCCCGCTGCCACCTCCCCAATGAAAGGAACGGTGAGGACCCCCCGCTGCCACCCCCCAGTGAAAGGAGCGGGGCTCTGCACGTCACGGTGCCGTCCCCACTGCAACACAGTCCCTGTGCCCAGACCAGGGGACGGCACCTCTCCGTGGGCGCTGAACACAGACACCGTGCTCACCCCATCCCCAGGATTAGTTGGACTGGGGGGGATGCTCCACGCCTGCCCCTGTGGTCCCTCCCCACTGGGGATCTGGGTGCTGGGGAGTTGTGGGGACCCCAAGATTTCACCCCTGCTGAGCCTGTGATGAAAAGTTTTTCCTGTGGCAGAAAAAAACCCCAAAACAGGAGTTGGGGGTGGTTATAGATTTGAGCCAATGGCTTTTTTCCTCTTTGCCCATCACAGGTGATAGAAGCCCACTACGGGCGTGTGCTGGGCATCGTCCCCCTGGACAGACTTGCCACCAACGCCTCCGAGGAGGATGGCACCATCCCCGGCACGGAGCCCTGGGGCAGCACCGAGGGCACACTCATGCCCCTGACCAACTCCAGCGAGGACCTCGTCACCTCCCCGCACATTCTCACCATGTACTGGTCCCTCTCCGTCTCCGTGTTCGCCATTGGCGGCATGATCTCCTCCTTCACCGTGGGGTGGATTGGCGACCGGCTGGGGAGGTGAGAGGACCTTGTGTGCTGTGACTCGTGTACCACAGCCCAAGCCTTCCTGTTTGAATTTCCCCCCTTCCAGAACTGTTTCCTCCCCATAGAAATTTCCCCAATTTAATGAAAAACTCACAGAGGTCTGGCTCATTAAAATCCTCAATTATAAATCAGACATTTTATTGCCACTTTTAGCACCTCAGACAAGCAGCCGATGAGCAGCCTTCTGAATTCCCTCCTTTCTTTTTGAGACAAAAGGGAGAGGAGAGCATTGACCCGTGTTTGCACAGGATGTATAATACACTTTTAGGTACTCTGATTACACCGTCTGATATTTTTCACTGCCTACAAGCATTATTTTTCCTCCTGTCGTGCTGATTAAGTCACTTAATCGCTCTCATTATATGTCGCGATGGCTGCTTTGGCTGAGAGAGGTGCCAGACTGAGCTGTGCTGCTGCTGCCTTGCAGGGTGAAAGCCATGCTGGTGGTGAACGTCCTCTCCATCGCTGGGAACCTCCTCATGGGGCTGGCGAAATTCGGGCCGTCCCACATGCTCATCATCGCCGGGAGAGCAGTCACGGGGCTGTACTGCGGTAGGTCCAGGCAGGGTCATCTGTCCCTTGGCAGGGTGGTGGGTGCTGCATTGCTTCATGGCTGCAGTTAGAGTTTCTTCTATTTTTAATTTATTTTTTTTTTAGTTCAGAAGGAGTTTCAGAGGTGGGAGTTTCCCTCTTCCCCCTATGTCTGTCCTTCTCAATCCAGGATCTTTCCCAGAAGTATTTGGGTTGGTTCCACTATGAAATCGGTTTATTTTACATACCCTAGAAAGGAGCAAGTCCCTCCTCTCTATCAAGGCTCAATCTTGCTGGTGGCTGTTGTAACAGTATGTTATTAGCCACGCTGTTTGACGGGTTCCCTGGACAACGGTACTATCTAGCAGATAGTGCAGGAGGACTGTACATAGAGAGGATAAGATAGCAGGCAAATAATATGGAATCACATTAGAATTAGCAGCTCATTATCACTGTTACTGGTATGCAAATACATTTCGACGCTCTGAAAGTTCAAGGCAAGTTTTAAGAAAGCTCTTTGCTCTGTGATAACTTCTCCCAGCGGATGATCTCTGCTCCATCCTCATACGTAGGTGTTCAAGTGTAAAGGCTTCCCGGCTCAGGGCTCCGAATCCTGGGACATCCGAGCACCTTTGCAGGGTGCGGGTGGTTCCCAGCCAGGCACGAGGGATTTGGTGGGATGTGGGATGCGGCACACAGGCTCCGTCCTGCTTTCCCATTCGGGAAGCGGTTTCTGCTGGTTGCTGAGCTGTGGTCTAGAAGAGGTGACACCCATGTGTGCTCGGTGCAGGGCTCTCCTCCGGACTCGTGCCCATGTACGTCAGCGAGGTCTCTCCCACGGCCCTTCGAGGAGCGCTGGGGACGTTGCACCAGCTTGCTATCGTCACGGGTATCCTCATCAGCCAGGTAAGAAGGAAAGCCCCCAAGTCCAGAGAGGGCCTTTCAGAGATTAGGGATACCACTCTGATATGCTGGGGTATCACTCATCATTCCACCCCAAAACTGAAAGAGACTGAGAAGCAATCATCTGCTCTGGTGGGGTTAAACTCCTGCCTTGAGTCAGAGATGTCCTTAACAAAGATGACTTCTCATGAAATAAAAAGTACTTCTGCAATTTCTCCCCTCCACTGTGAAGCTTTTGTACCCAACTCATCAGAGTCAGGCTGGATCCTGAACATGAGATCCCTGATAGTCAGGTACTCAAAAATGGCTTCAGGGAGTCCGACATCTCCATCAGCATTTCCCACCATGGCAGGAGTCCCAGCTACATGACAGGCTGGCACATAAACGTACCGAGAACCAACGCATCCAGAAAAACTTAACGTAACCACAAAGTTCATCTAATCTGACTTAGCCAAAGACTATGGACAGAGGTTTGCCCCACAGCACCCACAGGCCAAAGTCTCGCTCACAACATTTTACACCATCTGTTCACTCCCTCCTTGCAAATGTGCATCATAACTAAAGAAATCAAATTGTTAGGACTGAGAATTGGTATTTGCTTCTAGTTTTCTTCCAGGTTGTCACTTTGAAATGCCATAGTGGTCAATCGCTTTCTTCTCTAGGGTGCGAAATAAACCATTCACACATGCCTCGATTATTCCAGGTCCTCGGACTAGACTTTCTCCTGGGGAACGATGAGATGTGGCCCCTGCTCCTCGGTCTGTCTGGTGTGGCTGCCCTCCTGCAGTTCTTCCTGCTCTTACTGTGCCCCGAGAGCCCCCGATACCTTTACATCAAACTGGGGAAGGTGGAAGAAGCTAAAAAAAGTAAGACACACATTCTGGGCTTGTCTGGAGTTGTTTTCATACCATACATAGTATTAAACACAGAAGGAAAAGGGCTCACACATGTAACTGGGTCCAGTTGCTCCATCCCACACAGCACATTTGCAGGTGGGATTAGATTTACTCATATATTGCTGCGGGTGGTGTGAGCCTTAGCATGTCACTCCTTTCCATCAGAGATCGCATCTAGCAGATGCCACCCCCAAAAACCCCATTCAGTTGGAAGGAATTTCAACCAGGTGTAAAAATGACATCTTCTGGGGGACAGCTGATTTCTCCATCCTTGGTGCTATTTGCCACTACGCTGTGTTTACTGCAAGCGCTTATACATCCTCCAGCGTGGCCCTCCTTAGCTGGCTCCAGCCGTCTCTACAAGGAGTAAGCGCAGTAACTGGTAGGACACTGCTGAAACTGAGGTGAGAAGCTATGAGCTGCTGAAGTATAAATTAGCTCTGGACCAGAAACTATTGAGATATGTTTGCATGGGACTAAGAAGCGTTGCTATGGGATGAGGCTTGAGCGTGGTGTCTCAGAGCTTTTGTAGAACTAATGTGCAGCTGCCCCGTGCCAAGCAGACACGCTTTGGGGGCTTGATGTGCCACGGGAGTCCTCAGAGCAAGGGGACACTACTGTCCACGTGGCTGGCTTACCCTGAGTTTTGGCTAGAGAGATTCTTGTCCTTACTCCTTATCTACCATTGAAAATAAAATGTCGATCTTTTGTTTTTCCTTAAGGTTTGAAAAGGCTCAGAGGAAACTGTGACCCAATGAAAGAGATTGCTGAGATGGAAAAGGAAAAGCAAGAAGCTGCTAGTGAAAAGAAAGTCTCCATAAGGCAGCTGTTCACCTCTTCAAAGTATAGGCAGGCTGTCATCGTGGCACTGATGGTGCAGATATCTCAGCAGTTCTCAGGAATCAACGCGGTGAGTGTCCCAAAAACATCTGCTTTTAAAGAAATCCACACTGAGCATGAAAAGGCAACGCTGGCTCTGCCCAAGCTGTGTAGGGGTGAAGAGAAGGCTTTCCCGTGACTGCAGGAGGCTCCTCGGCCACCACCATCAATGTTGAAGATGGACCCCACTGCTGAGCAGGGCTGCGGGAAGGCAGGAAGGGAGAAGGGTGCGAGGGAGTTCAGCATGAAACCAGCTGGTATGGTGGGTCCATGCTGAGCTCTCCCGTGACCCTCCGCACAGGATCACTTATCTTCTAGCAATTTTTAGCTAACCAGTTTTTGCATCACCTCTTGGGATACCAGAAATCACCATTTTACACCCAGGAGCATAAACCCTCCTTTTCAAAATCAGCTAAGACTCAAATTTTTGCAAGTCTGGCGGCAACCTTTACAAAGGTTGAGGCCTCTGTCCCACCAGCTTTCAAAACTCTAAGAGCATTTCCGCATGGCGAGGCGGAGCAGCACGCAGGGATGCTGAGCCCCGCACGGAGCCCAGCGGTGCCTGCTCGAGGCCATGCCCAGCCCCATCCACCAGCCACGGGGTCAGCCACCCGTTTACCTCCTGCGCTTAACTTCCACCAAATAGGAATCGCCTTATTGTTGGAGAGAAGGGAGAAATTTGAGTCATTCCAACATAGTGAGGATATTTTAAAATTCTTGCAAGACTTGGTCATATTAAGGTATTTGTCTCCAGCGCTCGGCGCTGGTGATCTGGCTTTCAAGTTTAAACACGGGACTACATGGAAGAAAACAGTTTTAAATGTGCAAATGCAGTAGCTTGGGAGGGGAATTTCAATGGGATTTTTAACTCCCTCAGGGCTCCTTTGAAAGTTTCAGCTTTAATTATTATAACAAGCCATTAAAAGTTGAAAAACTAATCATAATTAAATTACTTCACATCTCAGCCAAGCAAGTGCAACTCTCCCCTCAAGAGAACAAAAAGTTCCACCAGCCCCGTTGCCTAATCCTTCGTCCTAATGTATTTTGACAGATCTTTTACTACTCTACAAACATTTTCGAGAGAGCCGGAGTTGACCAACCAGTTTACGCAACCATTGGTGTTGGAGTGGTGAACACAGTCTTCACTGTTATCTCTGTAAGTAAATACTTCTGCCCCCCAGACTACAAAAACACATAAGCTATAATGTGGTTTTGAAACAGGATTTTATCCTGGAGCTGGGATTTGCAGTTTTGCAGGGCAGACCCTGCACACCTCACAGGAAAAATCATTCCCTGGGCAAGTCTCGTTTGAAAAATCAAGCCTTAAACTACAGCCCGTTGCTATCAAAGAGCACTGCTAAATGTCTTGTGAGTGAAAACTGCATCACCGTGCTCAGGGAAGCTCTGGTAGCTCAGCATTTCCCCTCAAAATAAAAGTTGCCTTTGAGACTGAAATTCTGCAGGTCCTATTCCCCTCGGGGAGCAGGCAGCTCACAATCTCCCTCTTACCTGTTATCTTTAAAATTGTTTTCTGTATGTACATAGCACCCGCAGGAGTGATATCCAAAGGCTATTCCACAGCAATAAAAGTAATCTAGCACCTATCCTCATCCTGTCTATGCAGCGCTCTGCAGCAATAAAAGGATGGTTCTGTTTTCACAGCCTTTCCCTTCGTCTCTCTCCTGAGAGTATTAACACAATTCCTATCAGCAGGCAATCACTTTTTTAATGCAGCCATTAATATAAGAAGATCAGGAAATGCCAAGCCCATTTCCCTCACATCTCTAGAGAGACTTAGGGAGGAAAGTACTTCTTTTACCCACCACGGAGCAGGACTAGCTGCAAGGTAGAAAGACACAGCTGAAAGAGATCTTAGTCCAGCGTGCATGAGAGAGGAGATCTTGAGGTGAACCTGCTTTAGAGGAAGTCCATCACAGGCCCCGTACAGAGCAGAAAATGTGATGTTTATTGTGAAATGAGGCACGGAGGCATGCGGCTGGAAGAGGTCTTTCTCCAGCTGGGAGGGTCTCCTGCAGTTCAATCTCCACCCTGGGGCTGTGGTGCTTGCAGCCTGGGGCATTTGTTCTTTGCTTCTTTTGGCCATGAGCACTTAAAAATGACCTGCATTTGTCAATAAATGACAAACCCTGATCAAAAGGCAGAAGCACTGCCAGCCGGCTGGACCTTGGCAAGGGGAGAAGGCAGCACAGAGGCTGGCCGTCTGCAGCCTCACGAGTTAGCAGGATCAACTGCTTCCAGCAAAAGGGATGGTCTCTTGGAAGCATAAATCACTTGCTGTAATGGCAGGAAAGGCTGAGCTGATGGCCAAAGGTGTCCTTTCGAGCAGAGGGGAAGGAGCAGGCAGCCTCAGAGCCTAGTGCACGGTACCTTAGGGCAGGCCAGGTGCACTGTCCTCCAGCGTTACCAACATCTCCCCATCGGGTGAAGTGATTGGTACAGACTTAGATATCAAGAGTTCGGTGAGATGACTGGAGTCCACCAAGAGGAGCTGAGAAGAAGCAAGCTAAGCCTTGTGGCTACCAGGGAAGGAGTCTGGGAGCACTTGGAGGAAAAATCCTGACTCCAGCTGCTACACAACTATCCCTGCCCTAGGACAGGCAAGGTGCAATGGCCCATGATGTGACCTGAATCATACTACAATTTGAAGGCTCCTTCCAAACTAATGCAGACCGAGTAAGTTTATTCTCCCTGTGGAAAAAAAAAAAAAAAAGAAGAGAAAGAAAGTCCATAGTCAGCAATACATGTGTAGGAGCAGTGGGAAGTCCTGAGAGCTTGGAAATGCATGAGCCCTGAGTATATGTGGGTTTGCCTTGCCTTTGGCAGGGTGGCTGCTCCACCTGGCTCCCTAACAGCCACCAACAGAGTTTCTGACACCCGGAAACCAGCACGTAAATCTCTACCACGAGAGCTAAAAAAGCAGGAGTGCGGTGTGGTAGTGGTAACAGGTTGCTCATCGAACATCCTGAGAGCAGTGGTGCTGGAGATTGAGCTGTTCCACGTGTTTCTACAGGTCTTTCTGGTGGAGAAGACAGGCAGGCGGTCCCTGTTCCTGGCTGGTTTGATGGGCATGTTAATAAGTGCTGTGGCCATGACAGTTGGACTTGTGCTCCTGGTAAGGATTTCTCTCCATTTTTGTCTCCGTGGTTTGCAACCAAGAGACGACAAACCACCTTTTAAAGTGAATGTTTTGCATTTTTATCTCAAAGAGGTTCAGAAAACATTTGTCCTTAGAAGGCACAGTTCAAAGTGGCCACAGCTGGAGCCATCTCTGCTTACAGCAGTGCCTGAAGACATTGTGCTCTTTGGCCCCTGAGAAACCCCAATGCTTCTAGAAAGGACGTGTGTCCCCCATCACCTCCTTCAGCCCACTGACAATCTCAGCTCCTTAGACAGCAACTGTGCTGTTCCCACGGCACAATCCCATGCCTGCTAAGAAAACCCAGGGCATACCTTCACGTGCAAACAGTGTGTGCCCTAAACCCTCACCCTGCATCTCCCTGGCTTGGTGCAGGCATGATAGACCAGCATTTTGTCATAAAAAAAGGGACAAATTATTCCTTCTGACATCCAGGAGAGGGGTCAGGTTGTGAGACATGGGGCAGAACAGGCAGCAGATGGAGTCAGCCCCCATCGAAGTCAGTCCAAATGACTGCTGCAAGTTCCTGTCAAGATGTAAAACCAAATAAGGGGTGGCCTCCTTTACTGAACACCCTGGTTATTAAAGAAGACACCATTTTGCCTCTTCCTGGCCATGCTGCAGGCAAGGAGAGGGCTCAAAGGTACAGCTGAGCTGACAGCTGGGAGCTCCAACATCCTTCTGCAAGCAGCAATGCCGGCACCACACACCCAGCCAGCGTCTGGCACAAGAGTTTAGAGTTTTAATTACTCATGTCCAGTCCTCACTTGCCTGAATAGAAAGAAATTTCTGAAAAAGAAACCTAATTAAAGTAATTAGTGATAATTAATGAGAGTCGTGTTGGGACTGTAACACCGAGCGCGCCCTCTCGCAGAGCCAGTTTGCCTGGATGAGCTATGTCAGCATGGTCGCGATCTTCCTCTTCGTCATCTTCTTTGAAGTCGGGCCCGGGCCCATCCCCTGGTTTATTGTAGCCGAACTGTTCAGCCAAGGCCCGCGTCCCGCCGCCATCGCCATCGCTGGCTTCTGCAACTGGGCCTGCAACTTCATCGTGGGAATGTGTTTCCAGTACATTGCGGTAAGAAATCCCCCTAAAACCGTACAAATAAATGACTGGCACGACCCCACTGCTGGGCTCCCAAAGCAGCCCAGTGGGACATGGACATGCCTCCCCAATCTCCATCTCCAAGCCCCATGGGGCACCTCAGGCCCTCAGGGTAGGAAGGGGAAGCTATCCCCGCGGTGCTGATGGTGGTGAACCCCATTCTCATTTCTCCCACTGCAGGATCTGTGCGGACAGTACGTGTTTGTGATCTTCGCGGCTCTGCTTCTTGTCTTCTTTCTGTTTGCGTACTTCAAAGTACCAGAGACGAAAGGAAAGTCCTTTGAGGAGATTGCAGCTGTGTTCCGCCGCAAGAGGCTCCCAGCCAAAGCCATGACTGAGCTGGAAGACCTGCGAGGCAGTGAGGAGGTGTAGACATTGCCACGCTCCCAGAAAGGAGGGACTGAGCATGGACCTCCTTCGGGCACCACGGGAAGAACGTTGGGCAAAAGTCTCTTTTCACAAAAACCTTGCAGCTGGCAGACCAGGAGAACTCAGCTTCTGGCTGCTGCAGCTCACACCTCCGAGCTGCAGATGCTAACCTGGCATTTTACTCTGAAATAGCTGGTACAACTGGGCTGCAGGAAGATCTGGGGAAAGGACAGGAGGAATATGTTACATGTCTGTCTCTGTGCCCACTGGAAGAGCCCAGTGGGACGATGATCTCACTAGCTGGAAAGGCATTACCTTGAGCAGGGTCATCACTCAGCTGGAATGAAGGAAAGAGGGGTTGGGTGATGCTGTAGCCTCGTGCCTTCACCTTTCAGTCCCATGCTTGCTGCTTCCTTCTGCTGAGTGATCTGACACCTTGAGAAACCAACTGCTAGTGCAGTTGTGCTACCAGCACGTAGCACTGATCACCCGAGGTGCTAAAGAAAACAGACCAAGCCAACTCCCCCTCACTCTTGCCTGCGCAGAGGAAGAAGGTGGATCCCACCTGAATTGGTCAGGATGCACCTCACTTGCTTTGCCATCCATGTGTTATGGAAATGCTGCCCAATGTCATAACGATTTCTTGAGTCACAGCATTTTTTAGGAGAATCTTAGAAACTCTGGCTCGGCTGATGTGCATTTTTTTTCTTTTGTTTCAGCTAGATTATTTACCCCCTCCCTCCTCCCTGGAAGCCTTTCCTCCCTCCTTTATCGCCGCTGCAGCACAAGACACAGCACATCACCAACCACACAACAGGCCCCCAGGTCAGGAGACTCAAGTCCTGCTGCCATCCCTCCCATGATGTGACCACCGCCAGGTCACCTTCTCTCCCTGCTCCTCCTTCCCACCCTCTGCGTCTGCATTCCCTTCCTTTAGTACACTGCTTAGGCCATGGGCTCCAGCTTCAGCCGAGGCCTCGGGCTGCCCGTACCGTAACAATTACTGATAACCCAAAGGGGAAATGGGTATTGCAGCGTTAGCTGGAAGGTGCCCCACCGATCCGACCCTCACTTGGCACCACTTGGTTTTGCTGGCTGGATGTGCTTCAGCCAAGATAGCATTCAAGCAGGAGGTTGTGGTGTTTCTCTAACCTTGTTTGTGCTCATTTTGCTTCTTTACGAGATACTTCTATGTGACAAAATCAAACTGCAAGGATTTTTCTTCCTTTTTGGGGGACATGTTGGAATCGTTGGAAAAGCCTGCTCTCTGTTTGCTTGACTTTTAAGATTTGCATGTTCCTTGTTGTGATACCAGGCTACTTTCTAGCAACTTTCTCAGGATAGAAACCCATTATTTATTTAGAGATGAAACACCAGCGTTGCTCGGTCACTGCGAGCTCATCGTGACTGCCAGCGAAGCAGTGACCTTAATGTAACAGAGGATGAAACACAATGAAAAGCATGAGAATAGCTGGGCCAAGGAGGATTACAGGTTGCTGCTGTGCGTTCAGTTTTAGGGACGGTTCATGCTCCTTTCCATGTGCCTGAAATTCTTTCCTTTGTAGACTTTACTCTCTTATTAAGACCCCAAAGCAAATTCTGGTCCCTTCCAAGTGACTGGAAGTGCAGCCACAAGGTCCACTGGGACAAGCTTCTGGCCTCGCTCTGTGCACTGAAGCAATGAGATTGCACCAAAGGCTTTCCTGGAGTGACTGCTGGGATTTACCTAGAGAAGAACTGGGTCAATGCTGTCATGTGCTACAGCAGTGGGGGACCGGGGCATGCAGGGCATGTGGGAGCCAGGGCCCAGACTGCGGTGCACAGAAGAGAGCAAGAGCTGTGGCGCAGGCTCTGGGTTGAACCGTCAGAGTCAGTATGCTGCAAACAGGTCTCCCCAGGAGCCTAGCACAGCAGGCTCAGAAGCTCTCTGTGGTGTCTACTGCAGTTAGTTAAATATTATAATAGGTTGTCTGAATGCAAAAAAAGAGATGGATTCTTGCTTTCAGCAATGTTATCTGTGTCTGTTACATAAAAGTGACAATAAACAACATCTACAGCATGTGTTGGCTTGCACTGCTGGATTTTTTTTTTCCCTCTGTACATCTCAGACATATGTCCAACTCCAGATGGGAGGTATTCTCCTGGCAGGGCATGTTTGCTCCATAGGTGGCAATTGCTGTGCAAGCTCTCAGCTAAATCCCTTTGAAATGCATGGTCCAGACGTGAGACTGCAGGGCTGGGAGGCAGCAGTCCTGGGGATGGACAGCCCTGGAGCAGTTGGGACCTGGCTCTGCGTCAGGAGGAACCCTCACTGGAGGTGTGCCGGCGTCTGACCCCAGCTGTCCTCGCTGCCCACCTGTAAAACCCCACGGTAAGGCACCGCTCCGCACACGCGGAAGCTGGTGCAGCTTAAAACTAGGTGCTGGGGCCTCTCTAGGCACAACGGGCAGGAGGAGCATTTGGGGAGAGACGGCGTTCAAAGCAGATTTGCCCCTGCTCTGGAGGCAGAACCAGGCTGGGTTCCCTCCAGGAACGGGAGGACAGGACAGCAGAGGCAGGGTGGCAGGGAGGGTGCTGGCACTGGGGTCCTGCATGCCCCGGCTCAGTCCCTGTGAGCCGGCCACTCCGTACAAACAGAACAGCTGGAGCTATAGCTACATGAGGGTCGTACAGGTGGTTGAAAATGAGAAAGGCTCTCCAAAACTGTTTTGCTAAACTTCTGCTGAGCTTCATCCTAATGCCTGAGGGGCATCAGTCAGTCACACTGCTGGTGAGGGGTCATTTATTTAGCAACACTCTGAGCAGCCTGTCTTTGTTTTCCTGTGTGTTACGAAGTAAATGATAATAGAAAGCCGGATCTGATTACTGTAATGTAGCACATACATTAGTTTAACAAAGCCCACAACACTAACATTACCCATAGCTATATTCCTGAACTTCCCAGAAGATCTGCCTGGGCGGAGGCACTCTAGTAAAATGACCCCGTAAAACTGGTTGTCAGCTGAAAGCTGTGTGTACACCCAATCAGGCTTTCTCTCTTTGTTTCATCCCACATCTCTCTGAAGCTTTCGGCTATAGTAAAGCTATAGTAAAGACCATGTAGCTTGAAGCAGGAGTTATAGAGATAGCAGACTTCACATGCCAATAATTATTTTTCCCTGGTCTGCTGCCAGCATGCTGTGAATTCTGTGGGCTAACAGGATGCAACCCAAGTTTCAGACTGCGCTTCCTCGCAGCAGCTGCTGGAGGAAGTCGGTCTTCTCCTTCCAGGCTCGGACATCCCACTGGGCACACTCTCTGCCCCTCTCTGACCACGACTGGACAACATGCCTTCATGCATTTTCCTATTATCATTTAATTTATTTGTACATTCCCCTGGAGATGATGCTTTGCTCATCCCAGGTTGTTTCAAATCGATGCTGCTAGTGGTTGCAGTGGGGTGGGCTGCAGCCTGGGACAGGATGTGCAGAGCTGGGCGCTGCTGAAGGCTGCAGCAACGCCTGTCCTCACCAGGGCTGCAGTGGAAGGATTAAGCTGATACGCTGGGCTGACTATCACAAGTGCACTTTTACCACGTATGATGATGCAGGAAGGGGTCACACGAGTTGGCCAAATCTGCAGATAGGTTTACGTTTGTCTTGTCACATCAGGCTGGTAATTAGAACTGTAAACTTTATCTTGCTACAAGCAAGTTCCAGTTAAAACTTGTTCTTGAGATACAGCTTGTTGAATCATTATTTTTATCTCTCAGCGTTACAGTTTTACTAAGTTGCTAATCATTAAGAAAATTAAAAGACCAAGTTATACTTATTAGCTAAATGATCATTGCACTTTAGTTAACAAGCAAAATATGTTCCCACATGTGGTTGGCTAATAATGCAATATAATTAATAATCCCTAAGAAAGCATCTTGTCAGCAAGAGCTTTGACAGTGTTTTCCTAATGTGCTGATATGACAGCCATTAAGACTTTTTCTGTTGTGTCAGATAAATGGCTAACGATATCTAGCTTCCTACTCTCTAGGCATAATTTTAAAATTAGTTTGACTTCCCTAATCCAATAAACTCAGGACATTCGGCCCCATTAACACTTTCCACACTAATTTATCACAGATTTTTCTGCCTCACTTCAACTTGTTTTTCGTCACTGAGAAGCGCTACCCTCTATCTCCCGAGTCAAACAGCTGATGAGGATGAAGCTAACTCAAGTCCTACATAAGCAGGGACCTGAGTCTTTGAGGTATGATGCATTTTCCAGCGTGCTCAATGCCCTTATCTTTCATTGAAATATGGGAGCTGAGGAACTACAAGGCAGCACATCAGGTCCAGATCCAGCACCACATGTAAGCATGAGATTTAATTGAAGGTAACTGAGCCTATGCTCAAGTACTTCACTGAAGCAATACTAGCAAATTTTACCCTGAGGCGCAGCCTGAAGAGCTGTGCTGAAGGAATCTCCTCCCCAGCGGAGTAGCAATAAATCCGGGCTTTAAATCAGCAGTCCTTAAATTTTACAGGCTGTAGGTATAACTGCAGACCCGAGGCTCGGGCAGTGCCTCAGGGTTTTGCCCCCCCTGAATTCTGTTCAGGAGAGCGAGTGGCTCCCGTGACTATGAAAAGCATCAAGGCCCCCAGGTCACAGGTGGGATATTGCTGTTCTATCACCACTGCAGCCCCAGGAGGAGGGAACAGCCAGAGTTACTACATGCTTTCCCTCTTCCTAGTGAGAGTTACAGGTGGTTCCCACTAGCTCAATATCCCTGCACTGTCATCCCTTGCCTCCGCTCTCCGGTGCGTGCCATGGGTGTTTCCCAGGGTAAATCAGATAGTGCGGCAGTCTCTGCACATCTCATTCAACCACCTTTGTCCGGCTGGGCTGTTGTGTGGACTGTCAAAGAGGTATGGGTGACCACAGAGCAAGCAGAGGCACCAGTGCAGTAGTTTTGAAGCATCCCAGGGCATGCAGCCCCTAGTAATCCTAAGAAACATCCCGCATCCCAGAAC